CAGTGTTATCACAGAGAGCCCAGCAGGCCCTGGACTCCCACTGCATGAAAATGTTGAGTTTGTCACACCTGGAGAGACCTGATCTGTGTTTGGCCATGTTTCTTCTGCCTTTCTCAGACCCAGCCCTGAGCATCCATCCCCTGGCAGCAGCATCTCTGGGGACTCAACAAAACTCCTCATGCAGCTGCAGCCAGGCACCCCTCAGGAGGGAAGGACTGGAATAAGTTGTGCTCTTTTCCCTTCCTTTCTTTGGGAGTTGTACTTGTTGGCATGGCTTTGTCTTGCTGGGGAGCTGGGGGTGTGGGAAGGGAGGAGGAGGGAGGCGAGCCCAGGAGCAGTCCTGGCAGAGCCCCATTTCTCACAGCCACTGACCTGCCGTGCTGGAGAGTGGCTTGAATTTCCCATGGGATGTGTTGGCTGCTACCTCGTGAAGCTGGACGCAGCAAACTGTGCCAAAGAATCACATCAGGCTGATATCCAACACCAGCTGAAGGAGGGGAAAGATCATGTGCTTCCCAGGCAGCCAAGAGACCATCCTTCCCCCAAAAGCACAGGGCATGGGGCTTGGTTTGCCCATTTATGCACATCTTCAGTGTGGTGGCCCCCACCTGAGCCTGTCCTCGATGCCTGGCTCCAGTTATGCACCCTGAGCTACATGGGGTAACTCCTCCTGGTGCCATTTTCAGAGGGTATCCGAGTCAACCTGGCCCCACAAAGCAACCAGCATGGAACTGGTTGGTAACATCAGCTGATCCTGGTTTTCCCAGGTATTTTGGGGGCCTCCCCATCTCTTGGAGCAGTGCCTTTTGCATCAGGGGGTTCTGTCTGCCCAGCTGGGGACAGACTGGGCAGGTCTTGATGGGGTTGGTGCCTCCAAGATGTGCAGCCCCTCTGCCCCTCGAGGAGCTTCAGGCTGTGGTATCAACACTGAAAGCATTTCCCCTCTCACTGCTTCATCCCACGTGGGCTGTGGGGAAAGCAGAGCTCTTGGGAAGCATCTTGGAGTGTGTGGGAGCAGGCGAGGGCTGCTCATGTTTTCATGGCAAAGCGATGGGGAACAGGTCTCCCCAATGTGGTTTCCTTGTGTTTGGGGTCTGAGCACCCCAACATTTCCTATTCCTGCTGGTTCTCCTCTTCCTATCTTGGCCAGAGATGCTGGAATTGTTGATGAATGTCTCCTTGCTCAATAATTACAGGTGCAGGGAGAAACAAGGAAGGTCTTCCCAGCTGCCTTTCCCCAAATTCAGAAGATTTGGGTTTAAGGAAGCGTACAGTTCAGACCTCCATCCCTTCATGCTGGTGAGGAGGTGGCAATGATTGCATTGCAGGCACAGGGAGGTGAGGACAAACCTGGACCATGCACCCACAGAGATCCCCCCAGAGGCCCCTGCTCCTGGGCTGAGACATTAATGTGGATTTTCCCGTCTGCTCTTCTTTGTGTTACTCCAAACAGGGCAAGCCAAACAAACACAGCAAGGTTTGGAGCCTTTTACATGAACAAATCAAAGGAGCTGCTATCAGTTTGTGAGGATGATTCAGTGCCCTGCAGCTCCCAGCAAAACCCTCTCCAGTGCTGCTCCAGAGATGCTGAAGCTGGCCGGATACAGCAGCTCCCTGATTAATCATGTTTCCTTCCAATTACAGCTCTGGATGGCCAAAGTCTGGGAAGCAGTCAGTGTCCCCACAGGGAGATACTCAGCCCCATGGCAGCTACGTGGGCAGGAAGGACCAGACCATGTTTGAGTTAAAACTGGGCCAAAATAGGGTCAAAGCTGGTGGTGAGGTGCGAGGAGGGTTTGGTTACCAGGTCAGTGTAACCTGACCAATGAGCCTGGTGATAAAGGTGCAGTTTGGTCTGATCCCTTGGTCTGGGAGGGACCCAACACTGTTTTGGTGAGTTGGGAGGAAAGGTGGAGGGGGAGTGCAGGATTAAGCAGGAGGAATCACATCAACTCACATTTTGTGCTGTGCTGGTGTCCTGGTTAAACCCAGCCTGTTGGGCAGGAGATGGATATTGCTGGTCAGGGTGCAGGTTGTGAGTGACAGGGAAAGCCTTGCAGCAACTGTGCTTTGAAACTCCATTTCTCCATGGTGTCAGTGATGGCAGAGCCTCCTGGGCCCCACAGCAGAGCAGAAACCACCGAGTTTCTCATTTATAACCATTTAGTGCTCAAATGGCACTGCCTTGCACCCTGCTCCCCCCTTTGCTTCCTTCCCCTCTGCACCTCCAAAACCCAGCCAGGAGGGATTTGGAGACAGCCTAGTGACCCTCCAGCCCTGAATTTTCTCCTGGCAGTTCACAGAATGTTCCCATATTGATCACTGCTTTTCATCTCTTTGTTCTCACACAACAGGTCTTTCATCACCACACTGTTTTATTTATTCCTTTGGGTGGATGTATCAATGGCCAAGTGCCTCCCTTCTTGGTCCTCACTCAAAATTAGATAAAATGAAAAAAAAAAAAAGTTAAGCCTGTTCCAGGCTTTTCCATCACAAGGAAAACTTTGATATTTTTTGTTTTTTCAAGGAACACCATAAGCAAGGCCACATTCTCTGGAAAGATGTCGCAAGACGGAATCACAGAATTGTTAAGGTTGGACAAGACCTCTAAGATGGAGTCAGACCATTAGCCCAGCACTGCCGTGTTCACCCCTAAACCACATCCCCAGGTGCCACATCCACATGGTTTTTGAAAACTTCCAGGGATGGTGATTCAGCCACTTTCCTAGGCAGCCTGTTTTAATCTTTCCTAATATCCAATCTAAACTCAAGCTGGTGTAGTTTGATCCCATTTTGTCTTATCCTGTCCCTTGCTCCCTGGGAGAAGAGCCTGACCCCCACCTGGCTTCAGCCTCCCGTCAGGGAGTTGTGGTCAGTGAGAAGGTTCCCCCTGAGCCTCCTTTTCTCCAAGCTGAGCCCCCCAAAGCTCCCTCAGCTGCTCCTTATCAGACTTGTGCTCCATTATCCTTCTCTGGACCTGCTCCAGCACTCCAACATCTTTCCTGTAGTGCAAACTGAACACAGGATTTGAGATGCTTCTGCTGCCATGAAGGACACGTGCCACCATGAGTCCCCTGGCTTCTGCTTGTCCCAATTCCCACCTCAGAGCTCAGCTGAAAGAGCATCCCTGGCACAAAGGAAGAAGCAGCTTTAGGGTTTCTTTTGGGATATTCCCCAGCAGAGCATTTCCATGGAGAGCAGAGCTGGTGTGCACAGAGTGTGGGGGGGACGGGGATTATCCCACTGTTATTTTTGAGCACTGGGTTAAGAGGATCTCTGCGATGATACAGGAAGCCCTGGGTTAGCATCACATGCTGGGGACTTTCTTGGGGTGAAAAAGCCAAGGGAGCACCCATCTCCTGCTGCTCCCCTTCCAGCCCTGGCACACGGTGAGAGCTGGAGGATTCCCTGTGGATCTGCCCCTTCCTGTGCCCCACAGCCCCTGCCTCGCACGTGGGCACCGTCCCTGCACGGCTCCCTGTAGTGCCTCATCCCATTTAACAAGCTGTCTCCAGAAAGGACCACAGCAAGGCTGGAGCTGATCCAGGATAAATCAAGCAACAGGTTGGCAGATGGGTTCTGCTGGGGGAGGCTGGTGTCAGTGGAGCAGCCCCTGATCTGCTGCCCAGTTCCCAAAGAGCCTCTGCACCCCTGCCATGGGGTAAAGGTATGGTTTGCCTCCTGCTCTGAGGGGTACAGAGCTTTGCTCAGCTCCATTTCCCCCAGCTCTGTCCTTTGCATGCTAGCTGAGAGGTGGGGGGAAAAGTCTTGAATTCTCCATTTTTCACAAGGTTTTGTACCAGGCACGTTGTGCAGATCTGCTGGGTGCCTCCTGCCTCTCCCCCAAGCAAAGCTTATCAGGAGGCAGCTACAGCATCAAAAAGGTCTTTGAGCAAGTGGCCATGTTTCAGGCAGGTTTTTGGAGATGCAAGCATGGATTTTCCCCATGGGACACCTGGAAGGAAAGGAGCTGATGGCTGGAGGGGGTCGGAGGATGGTCTCCTATCCTTACCCAGCCCAGACAAACACCCCTCACACATCATCCCGCCTGGAGCAGGTGAGAAACACTATCACAAGTTCTTTTCACACAAGTTTTTCTCTGCTATCTGCCCCTAACAGGACCACTGGGAGTCTGGAAGTGGCAGCACAGAGCTCAGTGCCCGCAGGAGCTGTGCCAGCTCCGTGGGACCCTACGCAGGCAGCAAAACATCCCCAGTCCAGTCCCAGGGAGCTGGGAGCGTGTCCTCGGTGCAAAGCTGAGCACCCCCAGCAGCTCCCTGGTCCCCATCTGCACAGCACCCGGTGCCATCTGACCCATCCCGGCCACCCGGGGGACAGAGGGCTGCCGGCAGATGCTGTCCCCGTGTCACCTGCCAGCTCCCTCCTAAAGGCCACATCTGATCCCGCAGCAGCGCGTGTGGCCAAGTGCCCTCTGACCTGTGCTCAGCAATCCTCAGGTTTCCCCCTGCACAGGTAACACCGTGAGGTTTCCTGCTACACCTGAGCTGTTAAAACAAGTCCTAGCTGCTGCTGGGAAACCTCCCTGGGGATTTCATGGAGGGGAGAGAAGGATCCAGCACCGGTGCATCCCATGGGAACCCTGTTGAGCCTGCGGGTCCGGGCTGGGAGAGCCACCCCGAGGGGGTTTCACCTGGGTGCAGCAGAACCCCGGAGCACAATGATCTCTCCAAGGGGGGTTCGGAGCCAGCGCCAGGGTCTGCTCCCTCGGGAAGGCAGGATCCTGCTCCCCCGGCAGCGGGAGAGCGGCAGTGAAGTTAGACCCAGCGAGAAGCAGCGAAGGCTCCCAAGGATGCTGAGAATCCTTTAGGGATGCAGGAAAGCAGGTAGCCGAAAGTGTGCCCTGTGCTTTGAGGCACTCAGCAGCTTTCGAAGGTCCTTTCGGGCTCCATCCCAGCGGAGCCGAGCCCGGGGAGGGTTTGGGGCTGTCCGGGGGCTCGGCCAGCACCGGGGGTCGGGGACGGCCGCACGGACGGGTTTACCTGGCGTAGCGCGTCTTCTGGAAATCCAGGAGCCGGGACACGAACATCGCGGCGGTGCCATGGGGGTCCCGGGGGGCGGCGGCTGCTCAGCCCCGGGGCGGGGGGAAAACGCCGCCCGAGGGAGCGGCACCAACTCGGCGAGCTCCGGCGGGCGAGGAGGAGAAAGGGCAGGCGGTCCAGCCCAGCCGGGCACAGCCCAGCCCGGCCCCGGCCCCCTCCCGCCCCCTCGGCTGCTCGGGAGAAGCGACACGGGGAAAACAAAGGCGACCTCCGGGAGGGGGGAGCCAGCCCCGCTGCCGCCCTCAGATGTGCAACGAGGAGGAGGAGGAGGAGGAGAAGGAGGAGGAAAAAAAGAAAGGGGGGTACGGGGGGAATCCCTTCCAACTCTTGCCGGCCACAGCAACCTGCGCGATCTCCCTCCGCCCCCCGGCAGCTTTAAGCACAGCTAAAAATATCCCCCACCCTCCCCGCTGCCACCCCCGGGGGATCAAATAGCAGCAGATTTGAATTGAAAATGTGATTAAAGCATCGGGGAGGGGGAGAGCGCCGAGTGCCGGCAGTCGGCCCGCTTCCCCCGATACCCACCTGCTCCCCACGGCCCCACTGCCCACGACAGGGTGCCCCCGAGGGTCCTCGGAGCATCTCTGCCTGCCCCGGGCAGCGCTATCCCCAAGGAGCTGGTTTGTTTGGCTTTGCTTATATTTATTTGGTTTTAATGATTTTTTTTTTTTCCCCCATTATGTTCCAAGGGCCCCAGCTGGGGTGGGTGGCTGTGCCTCAGCCCCATCGCTGAGTGGTGCCACTGGGTGGGGGCACAACTCCAGCACCCCAGCATCCCTCTTGGCTCCGGAGAAGGGGGGTAAAGCAGCACGACAGCAAGGCAAGGATTAAGGACCCCAAAATCAGCCCATCTCCACCCTAAAGCCTTCACCTCTCCCTCCTGTACATCCCTCAGGTAGGCTCCTACAGGAGGTGACATCCCGAGGTACATCTGAGGTTGGGCAGCTCAGAGAAGGGACACAAGAGGTGGTGGGGGCTTGTCTGGAGACAGATGGGCGTCATCCTTGCCCTTGCTGTGCCAGGGGCTGCAGGAACCCTCAGGCCAGCAGCCAAGGGACAAGAAAGGAGAGGTGGGCAACAACCAGAGGAGCAGAGTCTTGCTCACCCCAACACCACCTCTCCTTGCTGAAGCCGTGGTGATGCTGAAGGTGGAACAGCTGAGGACATCTTGACGGGAAGGGTTGTGCTCATACAGCCGTTTCCATGGGAAATTGAGCACACATACATCTTCCAAAAGCCAAAGCAGACAAAAAAGGAAGGAATTCAAGGCATGAATTAATCCTGGCACCCTCTCCAACTCCTTCCAAAAAGCAGCTCAGTCCCTCAGGGGATGCTGCAGGTGCAGCTGCACTGTGGGGTGTCCCCAAGGCACACAAGAAGCACCCCAGGAGCCAGCAGCAGGTTCAGCCTTCCTGCACAATTCCCATTGTGGATGGAAGACACCAATGGGGACCAGGCTGGTGGCAACAAAATGAACCCCATCTTCAGTAGGGTATCTGGGACAGCCAAGCCCTGGCTGAGAGTGGTGGGTCCAAGCTAAGATGCAGAGTGAGATCATCTCTGAAAACCTCTCCCACGCTCTGCCACTTAGCTGGGAAGATTTTATTTCATATTCCTTCCCCAGACGATGGGCTCTGTCAGAGCCTATGTCATGATTCTTGTGCCCTGCTGTACCTGTTCTCTGGGCCTGAAGAGGAGACAAAGAAGAAAGGACGACAAACCACATTTTACAAAATAGCCCCCATCCCCAAAGCCCCCAGCCCACAGCCAAGAGTGCTGGCAAGGGACACCTGAAGCAAACCATCCATCCCAAAATAGATCCATCTCAGAGGGCAAAAGGCAAATTGAATGAAAAATAAGTTACTATTTTTGAAGCCTGAATCCAGTTGTTATGGCAACCAAAGCCTGGAGCATCGTGCTGGGGAATGGCTCCAGCCCCAGCAACACCTCCAAACCTGGCAGATGGAGAATCACAGGCAGCCAGGGGCTGCTTCAAGGTGGGGTGTGGAGATGTCCACGCTCACACCACCTGAACCTCACTGGGATGTGTTCCCTCCCTGCACAGCAGCTCTCCTCATGTACTCTGCTCAGGAGCCCACCTTGTTTTTCTTTCCTCTCCCATCCCTGGTGCACTCCCCACCTTGCAAAGATCTGAGTAACTGTAAGGGTGTTAAGGAGAAATTCCAGTGTTCTGGGGTACCCTGAATACAGGAGGGTTTCTTTAATGTCACCAAAACAGAGGGGGCTTGCAGAGTTTTCCTTCAGATGAGGAATGGCTCATGAAGCCCAGGGATGCTTTCTTCCTTCATTCTGATTTATTCTCACTGCTGATCAGTGACAGGACCTGAGGGAACAGCTGGAACTGTCTGAGGAAGTTTCATTTGGATATTAGGAAAAAATTCTTCCTCCAGGGGGTGGTCAGGCATTACCCAGGCTCCCCAGGGAATGGTCACAGCTCCAAGGCTGCCAGAGCTCCAGGAGCGTTTGGGCAATGCTCTCAGGCACAGGGTGGGATTGCTGGGGTGTCTGGGGCCAGGACTCTGATCCTTGTGTGTGTGTGTTCCATCTCAGGATATTCTGTGATTCTCTGCAGGATTCCCACAGCTGCAGACACCTCTGTGCATTGTCCCTGAGGGAGGGGATGCCAGCAGTGAACAGTGGGAGCATCCACACCTTTGCAGTGATGGCAGCGTTGGGCTCTCCTGGCAGCACATGCTGTCATCCCATTTCCACAGGGAAATCTCAGTTTCCTGCACGTGAAACTGCCAGAGCCAACAGGTATAAAAAGAGACAATTTGAGACTAAAATCTGCCATCAGCAGGGAAAGTCTCCCTGGGAGAAAAGAAGCTTCAGATGGGTAGAAAGAGCTACAGGACACGTGGATGCGCTGGTGGCAGGTGTAGTGGAGGCAGAGGTGACTGTGGGGCACAGTGTGGGGGACTGGAGTGGCTCTGGTGGACATGGCAGGGTGGTTACAGGGTAGCAGGGAGCTGAGGCACGGCCACTTGGGTTTAAGGCATTTGGAGGGATCTCCGTGCCAGCAGCTGGAGGTCCTTTTGCCTCACAGGCTGGTGAGGAGGAGGCTCCATCACTCCACACTGCTCCATGAGCATCACTCATGGGGCCAGCTGGCCCCAGAGGCACAAACCCAACACCTGGTGGCTCGTATTTGCGAGATTTGCCCTTGTGAAAAACGAGGTTCACATAATTTTTATAGAATTTAAAAGTTTAATAAAAAAACAATTAGGAGAAAAAAATAAAGTAAAGTATACAGATCCGGATGGGTGTCTCTGCATTCAGCCAAGAGAGCACACCTTACTAACAAAGGATTGTCCCTTAAAAACAGAATCCTACTACATATCCATAAATTCTCATACATATTCATACATTCTTCTTAGGATCTTTGGTGTTCTTCTCTTTAGTTTTCTCTTGCCCCCTTCCCAATAGATCAATCCTCTTGGCGTCATCGAGATTTACATTCCCTGATACCAGAAATGCAATAAATTCTTCCCCCACCAGAGTTCTGGTCACTGCTGTCTTCATCTGGATAAGATAGTTTACAAAAGAAAAAAAGATCTCCAGCTATCTTTTTCAGTCTTTGGGTTACACAAACAAAAGTAGTTTTTGTTTTAATGCTATGTCATAGCTTAACATACATGTATTATACCACTATTTCTAAATTTCGTTAATAACAGAAATAAAGAAGACTGTATTATTACAGCTAAATTTTCTAATCTTATACATATAATATTCACTATAATACTTGCAAAAAGCCAATAATATGATATGCATTTATAACACCCTTTTCTGTACTAATCCCTTGATTTTGACCCTGTTTTCAGTAATCGCTTTTTCAGTTCCAGGTGGGTGGGTTTTTTCGTTTCGACTTTTGTTTGTTTGATTTGGTTTTGGTTTTTCAGTTGGTTTTTTTTCTCCCTGCAATTTGTGTTATCCACTAGACCAGGATGTTCAATGGCTTTGGACACTGCCAGGGTTGGGGGAACATCTGCAGCCTGTTCCAGTGCCTCACCACCACCACAGTAAAGAATTCCTTCTGTGTATCCATTTCCCCCTTCAATGTGAATCCATTACTCCTTATCCTATTCCTTCAAACCCTGACCAAGAACCCCTGCAGATACTGCAGCCTG